AGTGGAAATAAGAAGGTTGTAAATAATTGCTGTATAAAATGACATGTATTATAGACAATAGAGTGATTTCTCTAGTGGCGGATAGATAGAGAGTTCTTAGGGTTACCAAATGCAACATCAGTAATAATGAATAGTTCAGTAATCTGTGACGTCTTGGGAAGTTGTCGTGCCTTATGTGAGACAATACAATCTCTGGAACTTTGATCCGCCATTACGTTAGCACAGCCAATGCACACCAAACTAAACTTAGCCAAGTATTGTAACATAACATAACATAACATAACATAACATAACATAACATAACATAACATAACATAACATAACATAACATAACATACATAACCTATCCTCTCCTAGCCAGGCCAAGCCTAGCCAAGCCAAGCCTAATCCAGTCTAGCCAAGCCAAGCCAAGCCTAGCCCAGTCTAGCCAAGCCAAGCCAAGCCTAGCGTAGCCTAGCCTAGCCTAACCAAGTCAAGACTAGCCAAGCCAAGCCAAGCCTAACCCAGTCTAGCCAAGCCAAGCCTAGCCCAGTCTAGCCCAAGCCAAACCCAATCCTAGCATAGCCTAGCCTAGCCTAACCAAGTCAAGGCTAGCCAAGCCAAGCCTAGCATAGCCAAGCCAAGCCTAACCAAGTCTAGCCTAGCCTAGCCTAGCCTAGCCTAGCCTAGCTAGCCTAGCCTAGCCTAGCCTATAGCCTAGCCTAGCCTAGCCTAGCCTAGCCTAGCCCAGCCCAGCCCAGCCCAGCCCCTAGCCTAGCCTAGCCTAGCCTAGCCTAGCCTAGCCTAGCCTAGCCTAGCCTAGCCTAGCCTAGCCCAGCCCAGCCCAGCCAGCCTAGCCTAGCCTAGCCTAGCTAGCCTAGCCTAGCCTAGCCTAGCCTAGCCTAGCCTAGCCCCAGCCAGCCCAGCCCAGCCAGCCAGCCAGCCTAGCCTAGCCTAGCCTAGCCTAGCCTAGCCTAGCCTAGCCTAGCCTAGCCTAGCCTAGCCTAGCCTAGCCTAGCCTAGCCTAAATAAGAATTAAACCATAGAAATAGAGAAATAGAAAAAAAAGTCTGCAAGCTCTGGTTATAAAAAAAATGTTGAATGAAAGTAATACATAAGTAGTGAAAGTGATTTACACTTGCCTGAAATAGAAAAAGTGTATAAAAGTTTTACCAACATTAGAATGTAGTCAAAGAAATATATACTTGATGCTGTCTGTATTTTTGCTATTAATCTCTGAATAAGGAGTTCTTTAGAATCGCAATAGAAAATTTACAGTCAGCGCTTGAATTGGCAATTAGGAAGCTGAAATTCCTTTTTTAAAGTGTTGTACTGCAGTATTTGCATATAATCAATACACACACTAATGATTATACATTGTAAATGCTGCATAATTGGTTGTTGTGCTGAATTTTATAGGGGAATGACAATTATTTGTGTTCAGTGTAGATATAAGTACTGTAAGAGTAATTAAGTGCATGTCAACAACAATGAATAGAAAAACATTGAAAATCTGCTGTTCCCGAGAAGCAGGGGATGTATATAATCCAATGAGAGGATGGTCGAGACTTAACAGTGATAATAATTGGAATGATAATTGTAATGAAAATGTATAATATAGTATTTATGATGATAATAATGGAAATGGGAATTTTCATGATATTGAAAATAATAAAAATGGTAATGATATTGATAATGATAATAATGATATAAATAATGATGATAATGATATTTATAATGATGATAATGGTAATGATAATGAGAATTATGATAACATTAACTATGAAAATAAAAAATTGCAATCTGAGTTACAAGAGAAATGACGTTAATGATAATGATGATTAGAAAAACATCAGAAACTTTATAACAGTTGAATGAACACACATCGTCTGATATTTCTATGACAATAGCCTGACTCCTCGTCAGATAACTTTTGCTAGAGAGTATGGCTGTGAAGTTAGAGCCCCACACCCATTGCTAAAATATCCAAAGCTTATTACTGTTCTATGAATTGACATCAAAATAAGTTAGTAAATGATTAACGATTAGACGTATATCAAATACATGACTCAAGATACTGGAAGTAGTCATTTACTTGTTTAACTGTCATTCAGTCATTTCCATGATATTTTTAGCAAATGATCAAAAAGTGTTGTCAAGCTTTTATATATGTCACATGTTATCCAAGTATATGAATAACAGTATTTCCCCTGTCGTTAAAAGCATATTCGGCATGCAGGATATGTCACACACAATGATACATAGATAGCAAGGTCTTCTGTAGCAGTGTTTGCCAATTTTTAAATTTTCTCGAAATAATAATTTCTTTTGCTTGGTAACCCATAGGGCAGGTACAGAATTTCAGTGGTTGACCATTAATTTTTATCCTCTAAACATTTTACTGATTGTAATTTCATTTGAATAATAGGTAATTTCCCTAAACTTTGTATGGTTTTATGCTGTGAAGTAAAAATTTGAAGTGAGATTCTGAAATGAGGAAATCATAAGTGATCATTGGTAGCAAATATATCAGTATCCATGTTCTCTATTATTATTTCAGTAGATACAAGAAAGGTAGTAATAAGAAATCTTAGAATTTTGTGCATTGTAGTGCAATTTTACAGTATTTGTTACAAAGACAGTTCCTTTCACTACTAAATAAAACAAAAAATTGTATGTTTATATTTTATATAAGTATTCAAAGTGATGTAATTAAGTGACAGTTTCTGAATGATTATATAACAGAATTTGAAGCGGGAACAATAACTTTGCACAATAATTTCTGAAAATTGTGACGTGATATGACAAACTATAGAAAAGGGCCTCGTAAGTGAAATATTGTGGGCAACGGCCTCTTAATCACTGTTCTAGGGAAGAGGACTTGCTCGTTTATGAAAAATGCTTTGTATTAGAAGGACGCCTCACAAAATTAGGCTGATGTTTTTTTGTGCGAGATTTATAGCCCATTTTTGATTATGATGTTTGCAAATATGATAAAGGATTTTGACAATATTGTGAGACACATCTTGAGTTTGATTAAAATTAGTAAAAGCTATGTGAGTTGATAAAGGAAGGAGTAACTCTAAAGTTAAATTGTTTCAAAAGGGAAGATATTCTGGTTATTGTTGTGTGGGGATATGTCTATAAAGTTATTTTTTTAACATTATTATTATTATTATTTTTTTGACTTGCAAATGAATGGTATGAATGGTACTAGGTATAATCTTTATCATTACAAGATAATTAGATATCTGTAAAGTGTTGATTTTGGTCGTTATTGATATTGCTAGCATGATCATTGTCATCTTCATCATGATTGTCGTCATTGTCATCTTCATTGCCAAGAATCATCATGAAACATTTAGAATCAAGAATCATCATAAATCATCATAAATCATCATAAATCATCATATCATCAGTCATCAATCATCAATCATCAATCATCAAATCATCATCATCATCATCATCATCATCATCATCATCATTCAATCATCATCATCATCATCATCATCATCATCATCATCATCATCATCATCATCATCATCATCAACATCATCAACATCAACATCAACATCAACATCATCAATCATCAATCATCAATCATCATCATCATCATCATCATCATCATCATCATCATCATCATCATCATCATCATCATCATCATCATCATCATCATCATCATCATCACCATCATACCATCATACCATCATTGCCGTCATTGCTGTCACTGTCATCATCCTTTTAACCTTACACTCCACTGACGCACTAAGTTACGAGGAATGACACTTGACACAACCTTGTTGAAACGGATCATCTTGCAATTAAATTATTGAGATGATGTCACCCAATAACTGTCAGCCGAGGATAGAGCGTAAACTAGACTTCGTAAGCGGGAACTATTTAAGTCTCTTGGAAATGCATTTTGTCTGTTGATAAGGTTATTTGATATTAAAGAATAATTTCATGGTATCCTGACTGGTATTAGTTTTAATAAACGTCTTAGATAGAAGGTAGATACACTTCTTAAGGATGGATATGAGTTAATATGATAATAAAGGTTTTTTTAATTGGGTAATTAGAGACCTCGTAACACTGTATGTACACAGTTGTTTGGTTGTATTTCTCTATTTTTAGATTTCATTGTTATGAAAAAGTGTCGGCATGTTTTGAGATTGAGTGTGTTAAGCTCACGATTCCTTAAGTAGATAATCCCTCTTTATTTGATTCAATTGATATAAATCCTTCGGGGAACTTGATACATTTATGCCTCATATTATGCCGTCACTCATTCGAGCTCAATTAACTGCGACCTTTTTATTGTCATTGTTTTGATTCCCCTTGTATGATTGCTGCACAGTACAGTATCAGACCTTACCATAACACGTTTCCATAGCTCCTTTCTCCAAGTGCAAGTTGATTTTGAATTTACATTTTGCGGTTTATTCATATGAGGAAGATTTACTTGTAATAAGTTATTTTTTATTTTACAATGGTATTTTTAGACAATTTTAGTGCCTGGTTTGTAGTAGTTTTGAAATGATTTTAGTGACTTTTTGTAAAGTTGTTTTACAATTTGATTATTTTAATAGAGGGGTTATAGATATGAAAATTAGTTAGGGGAATATATATCAAATCTATGCAGTTTAGTCAAGTGCAGTTTTTATATATTTATAGACTAATGTGAATTAATATGACTTATTTTGTTAGATAAAGGCTTCATACCTAGACACTGTTTCTGAAATTTTAACACACTTTTTTGTGGGATTTAACCACATTCTGTATGGAGGTAGGATTTTGTCTATATAATTTGTGGAATTAAAAGTAAAGTGAAACATTTCTTGGTAATATAGACATTTTCAGGACCTTATTATATATTTTTTTTATTTTATAGGATATTGGGATTAATACTTGAGGTTAGCTTTTTTATATAACTTTCAGGTTATTCTTACATTCACAGTTTATTTATCATTTTCTTTTTATTTTTAAGAATAAGATGGATACAGTCCCATATGACAATGTGTGACAATATATACATACATCTCATCCCTCAACAGGTTTCATGTATAGTGTCATCTTGAGTTTTATAATGTATACCTATTTCTTTCAAAAATATGATAGTGAAATGCATTTTGGTTTATAAGTATTGCAAAAGCAGTGCTGTATTGGAAATAAAATGCATTATAGTATTCTTCAAGTTATTTGATAACACTACATCTATTTCATATGATTTTCTTTGTTCATAGAATATACCCTGGGCATCATTTATCACATGTCAATAATAGTATAATGAAATAACTTCAGTTAGCATTGTGGATTTTCTCTTTGAAAGAATACCCATAATTTTGGAGATGAATATGTGATATGTAGATTATTGTGTGTGATGGAATTTAATTATAAGTATTCAGGTAAAAGAGAAAGGAAGGGAATTGAGTATATACAGATATTCAAACATTTTTCCCAGGTTTACACTACCTTCAGATTCAAACTCATTATTTTTTTCCCCCCTTACAGCCGGGTAACGCAAGATGGTGTGCGGTGGAATGTGCCGTGCCTGGGATGGGGATCACCACAAAGTGCGAGAGAAGAATGGAACAGACAAGGGAGCCGGAATGATGAAATCACTGCAGGTGACGTCGCCAAGCTCTTGGGACGAGGATGTTCCTGCGCCAGGTAATTTGTGCATGCATGCGCATGTGCATTTGTGTGCGTGCGTGTGTGTATGCATGTATATATGTATGAATTCATGTATGTGCATATGTATATATGAGTGTATGTATATATGTATATATGTGTGTATGTATATATGTTTGAATCTACAGTATGTATAAATGTGTACACATACATGGATGCATTTGAGTATACAATTATATATCATATAAGATTTTACTAAATGTGTATGTGTATCTTTTGTTATGCTGAACAAATGGAATAAGAAGCTCTGCCACCTTTTCAGAATTGCCATACCCTGCTGCAGCACTCCTGGTAGGCATCTGCGCATGTGTCTGTTTCGTCAACTCTCTCTCGGGCGACTTCGTATTTGATGACTCGGAGGCAATTGTGAACAACAGCGATCTCAGAGGGGACACTCCTCTCGCCAACCTGTTCCACAATGACTTCTGGGGCACCCGGTTAACACATCCATCCAGTCACAAATCATACAGGCCTCTGACTGTTCTCTCCTTCAGGTAATTAAAAAAAATTTTTTTAACTGATCTTTTCTTCAGGTAATTTTTCTTTTAAATTCTACTGACCTCTGACTGTCCTCTCCCATTGGTAATTAAAGTCGCAACATGTATGGTTTGTGTTTCCTTTGTATGTATTCCTTTAGGTAAATCAAGTCTCAACCTCTATTGGCTTTTCATAGTACTCTTCTTGAGATAATTTAGGCTGCAGTTTAGACAGACTTTTTTAGGTAATTTTAGTCACCAGTTGCAACTTGTATAGGTCTCGGACTTTCCTTTCCTTAATAAATTTTTGAAGCGAACCATAATTGAATAATTTGATGAGACATGATGAAAGATGGCTGAATATTACTCATTTAGCATATTGTTGCTCCGAGTGTGCTTGCTGAAGTGTATCATGTATTAAAATATTTCCTGGGAATATTTCTTTCTGGTATATCTTCCATTATTCTATGTTACTAAATCTTGAAAAAATATAGATAAAAAAATAGATCTTACAGCCTTCCCTCACAAAAGAACCCCAATACTAAATTTTCTTGTACTTTTTCCCACAGATTAAACTACTCATGGGGAGCACTGGACCCCTTCAGTTACCATGCAGTCAATGTTGTTGTACATTGCCTTGTCAGCATAATGAGCCTTAGGGTCTTTTATGTCGTGTTTGGTAACGGTGCTCCACGGGCTGCCATCTTGTCGGCCATACTCTTCGCCACTCACCCCATTCACACTGAGGCGGTAAGGAAAGCTCTTCCCCTTTCTTCCTCTCCCTCTTCCTCTTCCCTCTTCCTCTCCTCTTCCTCTTCTCTTCCTCTTCCTCTTCCCTCTTCTCTTCCTCTTCTTTCTTCCCTTCTCTTCCTCTCACTCTTCTTTTTCCTCTTCTCTTCCTCCTTCCTCTTCGCTCTTCCACTCTGCTCTCCCTCTCCCTCTCCTCTCTCTCCTCTCTCTCTCTCCTCTCCCTCTCCTCTTCTCCCTCTCACTCTCCCTCCTCCCTCTCCGTCTCTCCCTCTCGGCTCTCTCTTCCTCAAAGCTCTCTCTCCCCTCTCTTCCTCTCTCACTCTCCCTCTTCCTCTCTCCTTCCTACTTCTCCCGCCCTCCCTACTCTCTCCTCCTTCCTTTCCTCTCCCTCTCCCTCACTCCTCTCCCTCTCCCCTCTCCTCTCCCTCTCCTCTCCTCTCTCTCCACTCTCCTTCTCCCTCTCTCTCCCTCTCCCCTCTCTCTCCCCTCCTCTCTCTTCTCCCTCGTCTCTTTCTTGCTCTCTCGTTCTTTCTCTCTCTCTTCCCTCTCTCTCCCTCTCTCCTCTCCCTCTCCTCTCTCCCTCTCTCCTCTTCTCCCTCTCCTCTTCCCTTCCCTCTTCCGTCTTCTCTTCCTCTTCCTCTTCCTCTCCTCTCCCTCTCCCTCTCCTCTTCTTCTCCCTTCTCCCCTCTCTCCCTCTCCCTCTTCCCTCTCCTCTCCTTCTCCCTTACTCTTCCCTTTCACACTTTTCTTCTTTTCGTCTTCCTCTCTTCCTTTCTCTTTCTCTTTTTCCTCCTTTCCTTCTTCCTCTCTTCCTTTCCCTCTCCTCTCCCTCTGCATGTTATTATGTCCTTCAGAATGCATTATCAAAACAAATCATCCACACAGTAACCTCCAGTATTGTATCCCACAGGTTTCTGGCATCGTGGGTCGCGCTGACCTCCTATGCGCTCTCTTTGTCTTTGTCTCTCTTCTAAGCTATGTCCGGGCAGTGAAGGAGATGTCAGGAACCATGTCATACAGGTGCGTTGCATTGTTTTTTTCCCTCTTCCTTGACCTTTGAGGGATTGAGAATATATATAGAGATATGAGAAAGGCGTGAGATCTATGTTTCACTGGTCTTGTCATATTTTGAACATTTAATAAATGGTTGGTGGGTAATAATTGTCTTCTAAGGGTGTGAAGAGACTTTATATCTTCAAATTGGTAATCAAAGGGAAGTGAAGGATATATAAACCCTGGATAAATGTTTAAGGATTATGGAGGGGAACCTCTCTCAGCTTCTTGTTGCAAAATTTAGATCTAGACACATCACATGGGTTAATGAAAGCTTGTGATTCCCATTCTTCAATGCTTTATTATATTGTGTCATGTTTTTTAGTATTATAGATAGAAAGTCAAATCCAAATCCTTGAGAGAGAGAGAGCTAGTAACTGAATAGTATTCTAGGATAATTTCTAACTCCTTTTCCTTGACATTTTGCCAAGCCTTGGAATAGTGTGACTTAAGGTTGTAGGGAGTTCTGTTTTTATCAAACCATCTTCAAAGCATTGGTAGATCCTTTCATGCTGTGTTGTCTAGGATCACAGTGAGAGATTGGATTATTTAGGGCCATTAGCCTAAGATCACAGGGAAAGTTTGTAACCCATTCTTCAAAATTTCCTCCAGATCTCGGCACACTATTTTGTATCTCCTGATGACAGCAGGATCAACTGCAACAGCAATGCTTTGCAAGGAAGTTGGTATAACAGCTTTGGTAAGCAGAATTTGTTTGATCGTAATAGCATAATGTATATGCTTTTTTGTTTCATTGCCTTTTAAGTATTAGGAATAAGACATATGAATATCTTTGGAATAGGAAGACAGAAGAATCTTAGAGAAATAAATTGAGAAAATAAATTCATTTTGAATATCATGACAAATATCATCAAATCCTGTGCTATAAGTACAATTTATTTGTATTTGTGTATTTGACTACAGTAGATTTTAAATAAGGTCACTTATAAAAAATAATGGACATTGTGGTACTACAGTAATTATCACGACTATTATCAGATACCACAGGATGATAAAAAGCTTGATATTCTTTACAGGGTGTCTGCAGTGCCTATGATGTCCTATTGGCTCATGGTGGCATCATTGGTCGCACTATTATATCAGTTATTGTTGGACATAATCAGCGAGCTTTGGCTTTTTGGAGAAATCTGCCAGGTAAGGTTGTAAAAATTTTTATGATTGTGTTTTCCAGGTGTTATTGCAGTTGTGATAAGTTCTGATTTCATAGTTATCAACACCACCATCAGCATTATCATTGTCATTATTGTTATTATGATTGTTGAATATGCAGTTTTCTTTCTTTTTGTGGACATACTGCTAGCTATGGTAGTGAAAATGTATCATTAATGAATATGTATCATACATTCTAAGTGCCTCTCTCTTTATAGATAATGTGAGCTTTGATTATGTTCAAATATAAAGATCAATTTTTTCTGCCTACTTTCATTTGTTGGGAGGTGCAGTGTGTTGCTCAGTGAAATCTAGTGAATGATCGAGTTGACAAAATGTTATACATAGTGTTCGATTGTGAAGAGGGTGAGGTTGGAGGTAGTTTGCTTTGCATCATGGCCTTTTTTACAACTCATTGCCTCAAAAATATATCTTCTTGAACTGCTACATATATTTTCTTTAAGTTTCCTATCTTTGAAAGTCATCAGTTTATGTTTCATGAAGAAATCTGCTTCAGTTTCGATTGTTTTTTAAATTCTCATCTGATAACAGCATTAGTGAAATTGTTCACCCAGATTGTAATGAGTCTGGGTGAACTACACTGTTTGAGAGGGCTCATGTGAATGCAGGTGCCGAAAAAATGGGCAGTGGCTTATGTAAGTGGCCAATATCCTGGACATGTGGTGTGTAGGCTAGGCACGCGTGAACACCCATGAGCGGTGACAAGACTCTTTGCCTCCCCTTTGCAGTTATTTTGGGTAACCTTTTTATTTTTTTTGCCATTTTCTAATGTCCATATTTGTCTTTTGATCTGCTTTATCCATAGAGTAATTGCTTATATTATCTTTCTATGTAGTAAGTAACTATATAGCAAGTAAAGCATTTGGTTATTTGTGCCATTTATTTTATTTTTTGTAATTTTTAAATTTTTCTGTAATACAACCCGCACTGTAGGTCACAGCAGCAAAGAATACGATGTGCAGCATGGAAATGGTGTCCTACCTGGAGCTGATTCTCTTCCAGTCATGGATTACGCACTTTACATTTTACATTCGTTTATCTAAGGGAATAATGCAAAAGTCCTCTTCTAAGTGCCAAATGAGTCTAATCACACTCCAAGAGGTTTATTCACTCATGGTGTGTCTTTTCCATCACCATCATGACATCACCTGGCCTGTGGCCATTATGTCCAATGATGGCATGTTTATGTAACCTGGCCCTCAACCCAGATTTTTCCATGATGAGACCGTAACATCATCCAGATTGGAGGGTTTAAAAAATGTATGTATAATTGTTGAAATCATTGTCATCATGTCTCCCTTTCAGCTGGGATCCTGCGAGGGCTGATGTGGAGACATATACTACTGGCGGTGACTGGCATAGCATTGCTGGCAGCCCGCTGGGTTGTCATGGGGTCAACGGTACCAAGGTTCATGAAGGTGGATAACCCTGCCTCCTTCCTGGATAGTGTCGTCTTCAGGGTGAGTGTCAGCTGTATTGATAGATTGATAGGTGGATAAATTGATGTGTCGTTGGTGGGATTGATGTGTAGTTGGATAGATAAATATAGATACGGAGGTGAATTGATTGGTGGATGGACTGATATATAAATTGATTGGTAGATGCTTAGATTGATGTGTAGATGGATAAATAGATGGATCGATTAATCAGTAGATGAATAAGGAGATGAGTAAAGTGATATGCAAATAAAAAGATTGATGTGTAGACTGATTGATTGATGTGGAGTTGAGCATCAGTTGATAAATGTGATTGATTTAGCCTTTTTTATTGTGTTTTTTGTGATTGTGTGTGTGGATTGATTGAAAAGAGATTGATGTGCAGATATAAATAGTGTTTTGTATATGGATAAAGAGATTGATATTTGTGTAGATATAGATATATGTAAGGATACATAGAGAAGCAGATACAGATACGAAGGGGTCGATTGCTGGTTTAAGAGTTAGATGGATAGATAGATACAAATCTAGATAATTAAATTAATGAATAGATTAGTAAAGAGAGAAATGGGAAGTTGTGTGCAAAAGAAGACAGATACATTTGTAAATACATTTTCTCCTACATACATGTTCAAAGATTGTCACTTTGTCTCTCTAATTCAGACTGGGCTTTTTGTAATTTAAAGATTTTTTTTTTTTTAGAATAGTTACAGTTTCCCTTCTTTATAGATTTAAATTTGAATTTAGTCCAGTTTTTGTATCAAAATTATTAATGTATGTTTGTTAAAAATTTTAACAAGCAAAAAAATTAAGGTAAAGTTATACATGCACAGTCTGTGTACATAATCATACATTAATGTCAGTATTTGGAAATATGTGAAGCTGAAAATATTCTTTAATGTTATCTAGTAATTAGAGTACTAAAAGCTTCATGTTCACTGAATATCACATCTGTGCATTATGTCAGTTCTATTGTTCAGTTTCATTAAGCATATAATCTTGTTCACAATCTGGTAATATAGCAATTGTAAGCAGTGAACTCACACAGTGTCAGTATCAATATACATATCTCATTTGCTACTTGTTGGTGTGGTAGCTTCATCTATACGGATGATCTGTGATAAATTTAGAGTACATGATCTTTCACTTTGTTACTGTGAATTAAAATAGAAAAGGAAAAATTGACACAATTTTGCCTCGGCATGAATACATACTTGCATTTGATCATGTAAACAGCCACATTTGCTAAAATGGATTTTTTTTTGTCAGTACTAAGGTAGTATGAATGCTCATGATATCTTTATGAACTTTGCCTTAAAGCTTTTGTAAAAATTTTGATGTTCAATCAGGTGTGTAAATAGTGAAATCTATGCAATGAATGTTGTGCATACACTTGGCCATGGCATGTTATTCTGTGCACGTTGCATGCATGCTGTGAGCGGATACAGCTTCCTGTAATCACATGTAATTATCACTGTTCTCGTTACTTGAAAATATCACTTTTCTCTTACCTGTAATCACGTGTGCGGAGAATGTAAAATTTCTAAATCAAACTGTCTTCTCCACAGAGTTTGAACTATCAATATACATACAGCCTGAACGCCCTTCTGCTCGTTCTTCCAATATGGCTTTGTTTTGATTGGTCTATGGGCTGCGTGCCAGTAATAGTAAACTTCAGTGACCCGCGATTGCTGGCCCTCCCCATCCTGTGGTTCTCCTTTGTCATGTTGCTGAGGAGGGGAATGGCCCAGGGCAGAGCCAGCCAGACGTCGAGGTAGGCTGTGAACATGTTTTGTGGCCTGTGCTAGCTTTTTTCCCCGTGTCCTTTTCTTTTATTTGTGATTTTATGTTTGGTGTATGCTAGCATTGTGTTCTTCCCTGATTATGTATTTTTGTGGAACTTACCCTAGGTGTTTTTTTTTTTTTTCTATATCCAGTTATTTTTATTTGCTTGTGTAACCAGAAAATGCATTTTTCAATATTGCTGGGCTGTCTGTCTTGTTATATCATTGACTTGTGTGATGATCATAGGCTTCCTCTCTTTTGAATAATTGTATCTTTTTCTTAGTAGCTTTGACTTGTAAAAATTATGAATAATGCTTATGTTTGATATGCAGATCATCATCAAAATATACATTCCTTCATGGATGATGATTTGCATTAATGAATTATTTAGTTATTATGGATTTGTATAAATTATTTTCTCTTTTTAAAATGATGTGTTGTTGAGTAGCTTCAGCTTGTTGTGATTTTTTAAAGTATTCATTACTAATATTAAACTGTCCCATAGTAGGTTATAAAGTAACATATCCACATAAATAAATGTACTGAATCTTTCCAAGCAAATATTGTTAGAAGATTGTTTTTGTATTTTTTTTTTTTTTTAGATGAATGTTAGTGAGGCCTTTTGTATTCTTAAGTGTCTTTCTGGAAGGTAGTACAGTTTGACAATCATTTTTTGGCATGAGGGCATTTTCAGAATTCCTGGTTTACTGTGCAGACTTGCTACTACTGTTTTCTAGCATAATCTAATGTAGCTACTGTTACTGAGCACTTTCAGAAAGACAATTTTACATTTTAGTTCATTTTTATTACATTTAGCTCCAGTCAATACAGGAATGGAAGAATTTTGTTGAAGATGGAAATTACGCAGATGGTTGTAAGTCTGGAGCAAAGAGCAGGCGGACGAAAATGAGGAAGATGTATGGAATAGTTTCTTAGTGACAGGTTATTCTGTGGTGAGATGAGCTGGTTGGTTGCAAGGAAGTTGAAGAAGAGCCAAGGAAATAATTGCATCTTTCTGGATGAATAATTTTCTGGTATACTTTGACTGTTCATGACCAAGAATGCCCTATGTCCTGCAGTCACAAATTCAGTGACATGATTTACTAAATGCTTATTAATGCCTTTGATAAGTAATTGATAAATACTAGTTACTTGATCTAGAAATATTTATTTCAATACATTTGATATAAATTCCCTATACATCATGAAATGTAACTAGTTGAATGACCATATGACTCATTGCAATATGTAGGGCTGCACAATTTCTAGTAATTATATATATATATATATATATATATATATATATATATATCGGGTATATATATATATATATATATATGTATATATACATATATATATATATATATATATATATATATATATATATATATATATATATATACTATATATACATATATACATATATATACATATACATATATATATATATATATATATATATATATATACATATATATATATATATATATATATATATATATATATATATATATATATATATATATATATATATAATATACATACATATACATATATATACATACATATACATACATATATATATATATATATATATATATATATATATATATATATATATATATATATATATATATATATATATGTATGTATGTATGTATGTATATATGTATGTATATATATGTATGTATGTATATGTATATATATGTATATGTATATATATGTATATATGTATATATATGTATATATATGTATATATGATATATATATATATATATATATATATATATATATATATATATATATATATATATATATATATATATACATGAGATAATAATTTTCCCTATCACAAAGAAAATACAAGTAAATCTGAGTGATATTGGAATTTCTGTGTACAACTTTTATTTCTTGCTCTGTATGCAATATTTTTACTCACCCTCCTATTTGCCCTCATTCGTTCAGGCAAAAGGAGCCCAGGCTAGACTGCCACACTGTACTGCAACATTGATTTTGGCTTATTACCAAACATGTGCCTCATTCTAAGCAGTGGGCATGGAAAAAGCCGTATGTGTGAGTGAAATCCAATGTTCGAGACAAGCGCCTCTGATATTCTTATGCCTGTCACAGTTTCAGTTCACTTTTAGAACTATTTTCAATGGTTTACATAATAATCTTAGGGGAATTATGAATGAAAGAGGCCATGGTTTCAAATAACTGATTTTCTGATGCCAGGAATAACTGTACCTCTGCAAGAAATCTGGCAAAATCAATTTCCTGGCATTCTCTAGGTCCCAGTGAGGCTAGGAGACTGGTTACAAAGTTGTATTTCATATTACAGATCTTTTAGTTAAAGGAAGATGCAGTGCCTTACTTTTGATTTGTTAGTGTTGTATAAACCATATGTGTTTGTTCCCAAGGGGAGACCTGTTTTGCATTTTCATTTTTATGTCTTTTTGGTGCAGATCATTCTTAAATGGATAAGAAAAGCAGATAAAAACAAGATTTTAATGCTGAATTCTGCAGTATGCACTTTAGCTGGGTGTTGTGTCAAGTTTGCTACCAGCTTCTTGCACCTGGATGTAACACTTGCACTTTGCTTGGACTTTGAGGCTGCAATCCAATAGCAGAAAATACTTGACACATCACAGAATTAAGGGATCAGCTACAACCACTTCATTGTACATAAGAATTAAGGGAGTAGCCACATCCACTTCATTGTAATTGATTAAGTGACTGCACACCACTCTCACTGCTAGTAGGGGTTACCCAGTGAACTAATCTGTGAAACTCATGTGTCTGCCTGTAATTTTATCTGGATTAAAAGAGGTGCTGTACTTCCAGTTTGTGGAAGATTGGTTGTTTTAGTTTGTGTTTCACTGTTGAAGTAATTATTTCATTTAAATCCCAAGTGCTTATAATTGATTTAATGGCTGTGTTTTGTTGCCCTAGAGCAAGCTTGTCATTAGTTTGTCAATCATGGGTAGACTTTTTTATTCTTGTGTGTTATCAGCTGTCAAAATGCTCCCTGTGATAAAGGCAATTTAAATGGCTAAGAAAGCAAATTTGTAGCAAAGGGAGTTGGTTTACTTTTAAGTATTTTGATATTGGAGGATTTTTTTTTTCTCTTCAGAGAAAAAATAACAGGGATGATTTATGTAATTAATTTGTAAGTACTAGATCAACTGATAAATTTACGTGCATGTGTGTGTGATTATTTACATGTACATATTTTATAATGTATATGTAATTCTTTACTACACATTTCTGCAAATGGGATATGAAAGTTTTGATATATAGAAAATGAACTATCCCAGAGTCTTTCATATCGGTGTAGTAACGTCCAGTATTTGAAAAGATCTTCAAATGTACCTTGTTGTTAAAAGAGCAAAACATCTAGTTAACTCAGAGGGCGAATAACCTTTTACACTTTGTGTTTTTTTTCTGTCATTTCTCTGAAGGTAGGTAAAGCAAGTCATTGTGAATCAGTATTTGGATTATGATAATATTATTTTAACCCGTTGGATGTGGTTGCGTCACAGAAATCACAGGGCCGAAAATACAGGCAATGGGTTATGTAAGTAACCAACATCCTGGGTGTGCTGCACATAGGCTGGGTGTGCATGATCAAGAGTGAGCGGTGACAAGACTCTTTGCTTCCCCTTTACAAAGTTATCTTGTGTAAACTTTCTAAAAAAAATTTGCCATGTGCCAATGTCCATATTTCTCCTGATTTGCTTTATCCAGATGGTAATAGATTAATTTCCTTGCACAGACTCCGTATCATCTCTATGTAGTAAATAACTCATTGTAAGAAAAAGTAAGTTCAAATATTTTATTTGTGCTATATATTCTATTTTTTTGTAATTTTGAATTTTCTGTAATACAACCTGCAACGCAGGTCACAGCGGCCAGGAATACGATGTGCAGCATGGAAATGGTGTCCCCCAGGAGACGGTGCTCTTCCAGTCATGGCTTACGCACATTACATTCCGCATTCGTTTATCTATGGGAATAATGCTCAAGTCCCCTTCTAAGTGCCAAATGAGTCAGATCACATTCCAAGAGATTTGTGCACTCATGGCGAGTCTTTTCTGTCACCCTGGCCTTTGCTTATGACGGCATGTTCACATCACCTGGCCTGCGGCCATTTTGTTGGATGACTGCACATTCATGTCACCTGACCCTCAACCAAGATTTTTCCATGACGGGATGGTCACGTCACCCGGGTAGGGGTTAAATGGTAAATGTCGTGGTTATGGTTTATGGATTGATTTTAACCCCAAGCCGTAGGGCATGGCATGTACGTACATGCCATTGCCCATTGTGCGTGTTGAATTTAGTAACTGTTTTTACATAGAGATGGCTCCACAAGTAATAAGTCACCAATGAGCCAATTACGCGAACTACCTGTCTCACCTGTTTACCCTTTTCCTTGATTTTCGATAATATTTTCTAATATTTAATACAGCTGTTAGTAATGTCAGTAACAATATAGTAATTATAGTGTTTATAACAAAAATAACAGTGTCAATATTGATAGCATTAGTAAAAAAAAAATTTTCCTGTTTTTTTTCAAGGAAAATCGAGGTTGCAAGATCTACTAATTAACTCCTTTGTGGCTAAACATTGGCAAAGCCATCTATGTGCTAAAACATTTAACCAAGCCTTGCCAAAGGCAACGCACCATTTTCCCGTCGACATTGGGATAAGTAGGCATTGACTTTGGTGTTAACAATTGGCTTGTGAGGTTAGAGATACAGAATGCTTTAGGGAATGTCTTAAATGTTCTTTGTATTTTTGCAAAGATGCTACTGAATTGCTTCCCTAAAGTATTGTTGATAGTTGAATCAATGGAAACAATGTTGTTAAGACTGAATTCAAGTGCTTTTGTGTGGTAACACAATTTAAAATCAAATATTTATTATTAGAATGAAAAAGGGTATTGCTGTTGATTTAACACTTGATTTTTAAATTACTAAGTATGTGAAGTGTTTCCCTTTTTTGTACATATGTGTTTGTTGTCTTTTCTTCCTTTTTTCTTGAAAATTGTATATAATAATCACATGCCTGTCTCACAAAGTTAAGTTTTCGGATTTTCTCATTTCTTATCATTGTATATAATTGTTTGATGTGCTCCTTACAATAGATCCACAGATGCATACTATGGACCCTGATGAAGAAAGGAGTGTAATTTCTCGTCGGTGTTCTTGATGGATCTAAAAACTTAAATCTTCTTCTTTGTTTCCTGCATTATCAAGTGGTGTGATTTTTATAAATTTCTGATTATTTTTGTTATCAAAGGGTTCATTGTTATAGGCTTAGCTGTAGTGTTTAATGATTTGATATGCCAGGCCTTTTGGGATATGAAATATCATCATTATACTTTTTAAAGAATTTTGAATTATTATGATTATCATCTTTCTTTTTTTAATTATCCAAACTGCAGTCTGATGTATAATATAAGCAAAGGCATTTTTTAATATTATCAGTAAACAGATTTGAAAAGAATTTTAAATTTACTCTCATTAATAATTTTTTCTTTATTTCTAAGATGTGTTCTGATGGGATTGGCTCTGGGAATAGTGCCCTTCTTGCCTGCATCGAATCTCTTCTTCCGCGTAGGATTTGTGATAGCAGAACGCGTGCTCTATCTCCCCGCAGCCGGATTTTGCATCTTGGTGGTTACAGGCATGCGGGAGCTCAGTGCTGCCGGGCATGTTAGTAAGGTGTGTGGTAGAAGACATATGTTATCAGATTAGATAGTTTTTTTGGAATTTTTCATATTCAGTTCATAATTTTAAAGGAGCATTCCAACAGTTTTAATGCACCACTTTATTTTCATTCAGTAATTTCTGTTCTTTTTGGCTTTAATGAAATGCCTAACCTTTCAGAGGGTGCTCCAAGTCGGCTACGTATTATTGGTGGTTGTGTTTGTTCTGAGGTGCCAGCAGAGAAGCCGCGATTGGTTGACCGAAAAACAGCTCTTCAGCTCTGGACTGGATGTGTGTCCACTTAATGCAAAGGTTAGATATTTATAAATTTAAAATGCGCTCTCTTCTGTTCATCTTTCTGTCTGTATATCTGTTTGTCATTTGTCTATTCACTGTATTTTATATTTTTGTCGTTAGTTGCATTACAGTTATCATTATTATCATTTCAGCATTTTTTTTTCTTTTTATGTTTCACGTAATCAAACTTTTGTAGCTTCATTGACCTATATCTTTTCCCTCCCCCTAAACTATAGGTTCATTACAACATGGGGAAAGTAGCAGCAGACAATGGGGATGTGTTTGAAGCTGTGAGTCGATACAGAGAGGCCCTTCGGCTGAACCCCGACTATGACCAAGCCATGAATAATCTAGCCAATATTCTAAAGGTGAGTGCAGGAGCCTTGTGAAGGCGTTGTTCAGGCTGTTCTTTTATTTTCGATTGAAGAATAGCAAATGTGCATGAAAAAATGCGCACATAAACAAAAATAACAAAAGTAATATATATAACAAAAATTTTGCTCAGGACCAAGGACATCTAGACGAGGCATTACATCTCCTCCAACAAGCAACGACACTGAGACCAGATTTTGCCGCAGCTTGGATGAATTTGGGGATCGTTCAGGCATCACTGGGCGATCATTCCTCAGCAGAGACCAGCTATCTCACTGCACTGACACACAGATCTGTAAGTTTATTGGTGAATTCTGTCCCTAAACTTATAAAGGAATAAAATACTTTTGTTTCCAACTTGGGTAAATCCCACTAAATAATTTTTTTTTTTTCGTAGATCCTCAGATTTTCTTGTTAGATTCGGATCAAAACTTTGGTCATTATCAGAATTTGTAAACTCTTGTTTAACCAGTAAGTACAAATCAAATCCAAGAAATTCAAACCATTTTTATGTTACAACTGTTCAAAAAATTCCTTTCCTTAATTTCTAAGGAGGTACAGGAAATTCAAATGGACTTTTTCAGCCTCACAGTTGCCCTAGATTCTCAGTTTCTCTGTAAGACAAATTAATCTTACAGTTTCAGATTCATTAAAAGTCCAGTATAGATCAGAAAACACTAAAGGTTCTCAGCCAACCTATAAAACCCAGATTGGTTTGATTTACAAGAGCCCCAGTTTAGAACGACAAGTACTTATTAGAATGGAACTTTCCTAATAAACTTGTTATTAGAGTTCAGAAATGCAGTACAGACTAGCAACTACCTTGCATTACAGAAGTTCGAGCATGCATATATATACTGCAAATCCTTAAATAATCACATAAGATGCAAACCACTTTTGCTTTAATCTTCTTCCTCCCCACTCCCTTAGGTGTACCCAGACTGCCTGTACAACCTGGGCAATCTGTACCTTGAGAAGGGTGACCACAGTGCTGCCTTGGCCACCTGGACCAATGCCACTTCCCTCAAGCCCTCCCTGGCAGTGGCTTGGACCAACATGCTGATTCTGCTGGACTCACAGGGCCTCTACCAGTCAGCAATTGATGTGGCTGACAAGGCACTCAGGTACAGAGAGAAAGAGAGTTAGGGATTTTTAGGAGGTCTAAGGGGAGGGGAGTCAGCTGAGACACTTAGTCATTACTACTGCAACTGTTTCATAGATTGATTGTTAGAACATGTTACCATCTGATGAGTACATACACCCTGTCCCTCCAGGCACCTACCGAGTGAGCCAGCCTTGCACTTCAACCTGGCCAATACCTTAGGCAAGCTCAGCCGCTATGAGGAGTCTGAGTCGCACTTTCTGCTAGCCACCAATCTGGATCCAGGCAATGCCAACTACTGGGCCAACCTAGGGGTCCTGTACCACCGATGGAGAAAGTATGAGCAGGCTGAGAAGTCCTACCTCCATGCCCTCAAGCTCAACCCTACCCTGAAGAGTGCACAGGACAACCTCAACATGCTGCTCAAGGCCACTGGCAAAATATATAGATAGCACAAGATAAGGTCAAGTAAATTCTAGTGAGGCCTTGTGTCCTCAAACTAGTTGGAGATTTGGGAAGGGAAAGGCAATGTAGCATGGAGTCTGAGAGGTGCATTGTGGTAAGGCCAGGAGTGGGTATGTTTAGTATGTTTTCACAAATTTGATAAATGAAGAATCATGGACTTGGGTCTTTGCTCTACTGAAGTGTTATGTGAGGATGACCAGGATTTTATACTTGTGGGAGTAATTTTGACATAAACAAGTTTTATCTTTGGAGATGTCAAAAAAATTTCCATTGTGTGCATAGTTGCATTATCACTAACAGATAAGACTTGGAAAAGTAGGAGTACCCAGTCATACCATATCATTCCGTGCATAGATATATTGATACCTCAGTGTTAAAAGGGAAATGTGCTGTCATTGATATAGAGCTAATTTAGATATTGCTTTTACTTATGCTCACTGTTGATTTCTTTGAAGCAGTTTCACGCTTATCACTAGCCCATATAAGTTGCATTGATTGCTCTGCAACAAAACTGCAGATCCTTTCTATATGTGACTGAATTATGTTTGGTCTGGTGCCATATTTTCAAGTTTTTATATGTATTTGTATATACATGTAAACCTTAATAACAGATTCATTGTAGTTTATTTTTATTTTTTCTTAATACTGTGTCATGAATCTGTGCTAGTGTTCTTATTATTACTGTGGTGTTTAAGTCCAATAAGGCCTGGAGGACTTGAGATGTGCCAAGACATTCTGTGTTAATATAAAGTTCAATTAAAAAAGAAAGGCAACTGCTTCTGTAAAGGAGTGCTCAACTAATAGGTCTGTTGTTTAGAGGATTATTGTTTTAATTCTTGGAAGGGGTGGTATAATTTAAGGAGTCATCTTTCTTTTTACTTTTTGATGGGCATTAAACTCTAGGTAGGAGAATCTTGGCTTTAGATGTTAATTACTTATTTTACAGGGAACAACAGGTGTCATATTTATGTAATTGTACATAAAAACCTGTGGTAGATCTCTATTGTCGTAAAATGGTTACCCTGAAGAACCGAGAAAAGTCAGTACTTACATCTGCAATATGTTGATTCTCAGTGTGAATTATGCTCATTTGCTACATAGAAAAGACATACTCCATTGCCATGCTTATTGCCCCCTTGACATACTCTATTGTTCAATGTAATTTGATGTGCTCCACCATCTTGTAGGTGGTGGATATGTTTATTTTTTTCAGTGATATATTAGTAGGATCCTTTGAATAAGCAGTGACAAAGTTGAAGTATGAAAAAAAAACATTTGGAATGTGTCAGTGTTTGATATAAAATAAGCTGTTTTTGTATCAGTGACACCACTGATATATCAGGAGAATTTTAGCAAAGATAGAAGTGGATTTCACAACGGTACCTTTCTTTAGTAAAAGTTTGTAAAACATGGTTTGCCATTCATGCTAACTTTTAAACATCACTGAAACTAAGGTATTGGCAGATTGTGATAAAATTGAACAAGGAATGAAAGACAATTTTGTCTCAACATTACGTCACATAATTGCAGAGGCAATTGCAGGAAGTTGCCTATACAAACACTACTTAATACTGGGCAGTCAGAATTTATGGAATATATAGTGCTTTCTGTTATCTGAAGAAGCATGAACAGGGTTTTATTGCTCTTTCATTATTTTAAGAACTGATATCTGATTCTGTTTATATATATATATATTTTTTTTCTTTCAATTAGTTTGCATTACTGAAAGGGAAGCTTGGGTTGTTTCAGCAATCTTTATCATATGCTTATAATAATTATTGTCTTTTCATACACAAACAAGAAGCCTTGGTTGAACACCCTCATTTATGGTAGCAGCTTATCTGAATGCTGTAGCTAATGCACAGGTGACAAGGGTAATGGCAACTGTTTTGTGCAGCTCTTTGAATGCAGTAATTAGATGTTATTTGTGAACTTAAAGCTAATTTAGGAACTTCATCAGTTAAAATTTGATTATTATCAAAGTGATAAACCCAGTGTTAGGAAATATTGTAAAGTGTAATAGGAGTTTAGATATGAAAATTAAAACACGGAGGTGTTTCAGAAACTATGAATTACTGAAATGTATTATTGAATACATTGAATTGTAGCCATCCATAATTCTGCTGCTCAAAAAGCTGTAGCTTAGCAAAGGTTAAGGATATATGTATGTATGTATATCTATCTATCTATCTATCTATCTGTATATATGTATATATATATGTGTATATGTATATATATGTGTATATATATATATATGTATATATATATGTATATATATATATATATATATATATATATATAATATATATATATATATATATATATATATATATATATATATATATATATATATATATATATATATATTATATATATATATATATATATATATATATATATATATATATATATATATATATATATATATATATATATATATATATATATATATATATATATATATATATATATATATACACACACACACACACACATATACATATACATATATATGGATATATTATAATTATGTATACATATATATATATATATATATATATATATATATATATATATATATATATATATATATATATATATATATATAATCTTCATTTATTTCCTTTTTAAGCAATGTATCATGAAAGTTTCTGAGTATCATGATAATGCAAGTACTTATTTTATTGTGCCAAATCATAGCAGTGAAGTAACTCAGGCATGGAGAAACGAGCTGGTATATGTAGAATCGTATCTCTTAAACTGACTTTTAAGTATTAACAGATGTCTTTACAGAAAAGGTCACACTAGTCTTCTCTGTCCTGGGATCCCCAGACAGTTTTGCCGAAGTCTGGTCAGCTGCAGCTTGTGATTGGTCAGCTAACCAGACTTCGGCGAGGCTGTCTACGGATCCCAGGACAGAGGAGACTAGCGTGGCCCTAGCTTACCACAGGGAATTTTGTGTTTTTATGAATCACGCAATTATACATACACTTGGGCATGCAAGGATACGTAAGACATCCACAAACACAGAGACACTCACAAATACAATTAAAAACTTAATGGATAACCACAAACACCCAGAAAGATTCATAGACACCCAAAAACACAGAGATGTGCATGCTTGCCTGTGAATATAATTTTGATAGGTTGGATAACAGAGACTTTATGTCTGTTCACCGATTAAATATAATGGAATTAAGTATGTGCCTATTTTAAGTATTCTATATGCTTTGTTACTTGTACCTACTCTAGAAAAATAGGTAGTTTATATTTATGTGTTATTGTTATTATTATTCTATTTTGTTTTTATTTTATATTATTTTTGGGGAGAAAGTGATAGCAATTCTTGATTAGCTCTTCACTGAACAATGTATGTGTATGTGTATATAAATACACACACACACACACACACGCACACGCCACGCACACGCACACACACACACGCACACCACACACCCACACACACACACACACACACACACACACACACACACACACACACACACACACACACACACACACACACACACACACACACACACACACACACACACACACACACACACACACACACACACACACACACACACATAATATAATATATATATTATATATGCAGGTGCCAATAGAAAACTGCAAGTCTCGAGTGCCAAAATAGTATTGGTACGTGCAAAGTAAACCCAGTATATTTCTGTGTTCTAAGTCATGATGACTTTTCTGATTAGTCATTACGATATTGTACTTGTCTGATATAGAGAAATGCGACAAAATGAGCTTTTGTCGCATTGCTTTTATTTTTCTAGTCTCTCTGAGGGTCTTCTGTTATTGGTTAATCTAAGTTGTGCAATTTTTAATGTTTAACGATGTAGCGGCAGCTAAAGAACACGCGCAGGTGATTGAGTGATTGTGAAGACTTCAATATATTTTTTTTTTTGTGTGTTTTAGTCTTTTCCACCAAGCATCTTACCTTGAGTTGTTGAAGGAGGAACCTCAAGGTAATAGATGATAGTATAGAATAATCCTGAATGAGGTTGGGAATGGCATTAAACCAGTACCAATCCTTTTCCTGTTGCCTGCTTTGTAATCTTTCTTTTTATATGATTAATAATCTTTTGCCTATGCTTTGAAAAATAGTGTGGATGAGGATATTTGTGTTTCACTGAAAATCGGAAGAAAAGGAAAGGCGATTCTTTATTTTTTAGTGCCATAAGACTTTTATGATTACGATCATTATTATGATTATTATAAGTCTCCTGCTGTACCTGCGATTATGCTATTTTCATCCCCTTACCCCTTTTGGTGGGCCCACAGCATTGATTAATTATTGAATATCTACTAACATCAGTTTTTGAGCCTTTTTATTGCATCTGCTTCCAACAAAAAAATAAATAAAAAAGAGAAAAAAATACAGCTATTAAAGGGGATTTTGCTTTTAGATTTTAGGGATTATTATAAGCTGAAAAATCTCGTTTTACCATTTACATTTACTGAATAAGTTGTTTAAGGATGCCGGTAGTAGGTAGGGCATTGTTACTTTTTAATCTTTTTTTATGTGCAATTTAGTATTTATGTTGTTTAGAGTACTACTTGTAATGCTTGTTTGTCAGAGGTGTGCTGTCTCTGTCTCTCTTTTTACCTATCTGTCCCCCTCCCTTCCTTTCTCACCCCCTCCATACCTCCCATCCATTCTCTCCCCTTTTCTGACTCCCATCTCACCATACCTCCCATCCAACTCCCACTATACTCCTACCACTCCCCCTCCCCACCCTCCCTCCCTTCCCTTCCCTTCCCTTCCCCCCCGCTCCCCTCCCCTCCCTTCCCTTCCCTTCTTCCCTTCCCCTTCCCCTTCCCTTCCCCCTTCCCCTTCCCTTCCCTTCCCTTCCCTTCCCTTCCCTTCCCTTCCCTCCCTTCCCTTCCCTTCCCTTCCCTTCCCTTCCCTTCCCTTCCCTTCCCTTCCCTTCCCTTCCCTTCCCTTCCTTCCCTTCCCCTCCCCTCCCCTCCCCCCCTGCCTTTCTTTAGTATTCCCCCTCCTCCTCTTCCTAAGACTTTTTAAGAAGGAACATTAATTACAAATGAAAAGAGACAGAGTTAGAAGTGATTAGATCACCAGTGATCTGTATTAAAAGAAACTTGCAGATCACCTCTTGTCTGGTTCAAGGCAAAATACGAAGTTTCTACAAATACTTTAGGTGTGTATGTTTTTTTCCCAAGAGTGCGAGACAGGTGGTGAAATTGTAACGGAGTTCCCCATTGGCTGAAGTACGTCACCCAGATGATAAAGAACTTCGGGTATGAGCTGGAGTCTGGTGTTTCAGATATTATGCGGCTTTTACAACTTCGATCAGTAGAGATGTTCAGCGTTTACCTGGCTGATGGTCACAATTTCATAACATTCCTGTAAATATTGATGCTTTAAATTATATATAAAATTATTGATTTTGGTTTTACATAATTAGGGGAAAGATAAATAAATGAATCTTGTAACTTAAACCAGTTAGGCTTTGAGCTATTTGCATATTATTGATATTATTATTTTTATTTTACCAGACTGCAGATTTTAAGGGTGTGAGGATGTAAGAGCATGAAAACATTAATGTCAGTAGAATATAAGATATCTTTTGTAAATAGTCTGTGTACTTAATAAAAAAAAACATCACTCTAACAAAATGACAGATGATTTTCATAATTGGTGTTTATTTTATCCCATAATTCTTCATTTTATTTGAAACAAAAAGTGTTACATGGTGTATTACTTGGCATTAAAAGGGAAGATGTTAATGAGTAATGTATTGTAATTAATTTATTAATTAAGACTTCATGTTATACCTTTTATAGAAACTTCATTATCTACTGATAATTTTTATTAATTCAGGAGAACAGATTAGTATCCTTAAAGGAAAAGGATTATGTACACTCTAACTTGCTTTGAATGGGTATCTCAGTGAGTGCAATCGGAGAGATATGTCCAATACACCTTTTTTTATCATATTTTTTTCCAAAGGGATTTAATGATTTCCTCAGATTATCACAAGCTGAAGGTAAGCAGATAATACAAAACCTGGTTCACATGCATGACCATCACCTCAGCACCTACAGGGACTTGTTAAGAAAAGGAAAAAGATAGATAGAGAAATGTGATGCCACTATAGGCAATATCTCATTATAGAAGTTAGCTGGCGGACACTAATGGTGTAAACACTAAAAAGACATATTGTAAACACCAAAAAGACCAACACCCAGCACTACCCCACACCATAACCACCGCCACCACCAAACAACACTACCAGACAACATGCATATCGTGAACATCAAACTGCTCCACACTGACAGCGCTCGCACAGAACTAATACAGCCAAGACACTTTAAATACAAATGCTACAACAACGTCAACCTTAAACTTAAACCCACAAACTCGATGGAAGTCCGACCACAATTGCACATCATCAGCAGTCATGGACATACGCCACTTAAAGATTCGAAACAAAGCAATGAAAACCACAACTATAAACACCTGTATTTACAAGAGAAAGGCAATGAAAAAAATAACTACAAACACCTAATTCATACAATCACCTACCCTCTGCCGAGAGAGAGAGAGAGAGAGAGAGAGAGAGAGAGAGAGAGAGAGAGAGAGAGAGAGAGAGAGAGAGAGAGAGAGAGAGAGAGAGAGAGAGAGAGAGAGAGAGCGAAAGAATTGCTAAAATGGTAAGTATAGCATCAAAACTCATATAAAAATAAGTTTGTAAAACTTTAAGACAAGTAACGTAGAGAAGGTAACATTAATGAGCGGATAACGCATAAATAGTTATTAATATTGCGAAATGTATTAATAACTGTACTTAATTTACCCAATACATTATGGTAATTTTTCGTTGGGCAGACGAAGGATTGGTAATTATCATTGGCAAGGGCCTGTGTATTCGACTTTTATTTGTATCGTTTAGAATAACAGTATTTATTTTGATTATCTTAATGTGTGCGATTTTATATGTACGTACCTGCTTACATACATACATACATACATACATACATACATACATATATATATATATATATATATATATATATATAATATATATATATATATATATATATATATATATATATATATATATATATAATATATAATATATATATATATATATATATATATATATATATACATGCATTTACACAGATACCCTCCACA